AATCTAACCACAGAGAGCTACAAACCCGAACACAAATGTTTTACAGTATCTATTTCAATACCAGGCTTAAATGTGAACAAACACAAAAAGACCTCAAAAATATTTGGTGTGAGCAAAATTGTTTCTAAAAATCTCGCTGTGTGTGAGTTATTTCACTAAGACTATGAAGTAGCTTCAAAGTACTGAGAGATCTATTTAAAATTATTTCCATTTATCAACAATCCATTTTTTAGACTTCCTTTTTTTCAATAAATAACATCAAATATTTTCCTCATACTTGCACATTTATCCCTTTCCTTTTTCTGTCTAATTTCCCCCTTTTAGACTTTTTTTTTCATGCTGAGCAGCTCTCTGAGGAGTAAACATGGTGACTGATGTGAAAACGTTCAGTTGAAAGCTGTAATTATGTCTTATGTACGAACTGAATGCGTCTAAATTACATACCCCTTACAAATCAAGATTATCCCAGAAATAAAGACCCCTCTTTTACCTCGTCTCCTGCATCTCTTCTCTTTCTGGCAGAAAATGTTGTAAAACCTAAATAAATGAATAAATAAAAAAATCTCACATCTGGGTTTGCACAAAATCTGACTGTCAAGGTAAGATGACCTTTGCAAACCGAGCCACAGAAATCTTACATAAACCATCAGTTCACATCTGCTGGCATCAGGTGACATTTCAATTCAAGGTTGTCATACACATATTGTTGTGGATTTCTGCCACTCCACAGTTTCTGGGAGCAGAATCTCAGCTATGTCTGATGAATATACATGCACAGAAATGCAAAATAAAACAATCCGATTTATTTAGCTCAAAAATTTTAAGTTAGACCTAAACATATGCAGTTTTTTTCTATGTTTAATATAGAAACTATTTAAATTGATAAGGTTTACAAGGGATTTTTTAAAGTTGGGGATCTTGGTTAATAACCTAACCCTACTTAAAACGTCCCTACAACTTTATCATTGAACTTTGTGATGCTGTTTTTGTTTTCAAATGCTCTTCAACAAACATCTGAGGTCTTCATTGAAGAGCTATATTTATACTGACTAAAAAATACACCCAGGAAGACTCCATTTAATAATGTAATGACCTAGTAAGACAGTAGCTTGAACCAGATTTTATTTTGACCTACACTGTATAAATACAGTAAAATTCTGGTAAGCACAGCTGCCGGCATTTTACTATAAACTATATAAAAACCTTTTTACAGTGTACCAGAGTAAAGGACACATAATTATTATGAACACCATATGCAACCGGTTTATTTGTTTGTGTAAAATATTGCAAGATACATTTCTTCTTTTTTTTATTCTACTATTGTTATTCTTTTGTAGCAATAAATCACTTTAGTCTATCAGTTAAAAGCTTCATTATTCCCACTGATGCTAGTGACTTTAACAGGAAAGGTCACAGTAACTTGGCAGAAACTAATCATAATCACATTTTTAAGATGTGTTGGATTGATATAGATTTTAGGACTCATTCGGTAGCTTTTCTTCTGGTTCATGGGATCAAGCGACCGACTGCAACTAAAAAAATCTGCCAGCAGTTTTTTAATGCCTGAAGATATTTTAATTTTGCAGCAAAGACGTTAGTAACTCAATTTGGGGTTGCTTTTTAAGTTTATTTTATTTATTTATTTTTTTTTACACCAGCAAGCTACTTGAGTGTTTCTGATTAATGTTTTAAATTAATTTTGATCATTTTCAGGTGTACTGTGTGACTACTTGGAATAACAACGTAAGATAAACATGACACATTTTTCAATCAGCTCTAAATTTAATTTAAAGGGAATGACCATTATGAAAAAAAACCCAGTGTCAGAAATGATTAAACCTGCAGAAGATAATTTGTCAAGCACATCCTTGAATTTTCTAAATTGTAATTAAAGAAAAATAATTGGAAAATGAATATTTATACTATTACATTTTGAAGATGGCTGTTTTCAAAACATTTCACACTCAGCAAAATGAAACATTTACTTTATTCCAGTGCATAAAAGAGATTACTTAATAGGCTGTAATAATTTTTTTTCTCCTCATAAGTGCAAGTCTTGTTTGATCTACCACTCATTGTGTTTCAAATGAAAAAAAATGAAAAGTTAGGTTGTTCTTTCTTTACTTTGACAAAAACTAAAAAGCCACAAGAAAGCCCAGATAGATTGTGATACAAAACAGATGGTACAATAAAAAGCAAAACATTACATGGAAGTATTAAAACAACAGTCAGGAAGTTAAGGCGAGTTTGAGCAAAATGATCCAGAAGCCTGACTCAGTTATATCAGTTCTGACAGAAGGAATAATTCACAGTTGCTATACAAATACTTAGAATTTGATACCACCGTCTACAACTGCTGAGTGATAAAGGAAAACGGCACACCCATATGCCAAGCATTAAATAAGTGGCATCATTAACAATTTAGAACGTAAAAACACAACAGCAACAATTCTCAAGCTGATGACCTGAAGAAATGAGCTCAAAAGTCTGTTCCTTTGAAGAGCATCTCTGGTACGTTCCCTTTGTCACACTGTGATGAACTTTTTTTTTGTTGCGCAGAGTATTTTCTACTTAATTAAGAACGCAGATGCAGCCTTTTCATGGTAAGGATGCTTTTGATTTTTTGACTTTGAACTTGCTAGCAGGAACATTTCTGTAAAAAGATTTTCTTATTGCCCTACATTTCTTAAAATGATAATAAGAAATCACCTAAAACCCTGAAGGATACTCGGAAAAGATATATTTCTTCTGCAGAGCAGCAGTTCGAGATGCAACCTGCCTGGCTATTGAACTTATGATACTAAACAATGAGGAGATTAGGATTTATATTAATACCTGTTGAAAACACTGAAACAACACAGTATTTTGCAAATGTTTTAAATCCCATTTTAACTTCATTAATAAGCTTGGGGAATTAGAAACACAAAATTCAATGTATTTATTTTTATTTGTACCTTATTGTGAGGAAGCAAAATGATACATTTCAACAGTTTTCACAGTTAAAGAGAAAGTTTAAAAAATGGCCATGCACAAGTAGCAACAGTTTGAAGCAGCACTAAAAACGAACGAGGTACAAAATCAAATTTATTGATCACAAACAAAGCCTGTGAGGATGAATATGCCTCAGGCACCTCAAGCCCATGTCACAAGTTTTTGTCACAGTGTGAAACTACTTTGGGATCTGAAGTAACACCAGTCTACCATAAGTATTTGTTGTAGTCATTGTGGGTGGCGGTCTCTTTCGTTCGATGCTACCTCCAGCAATTACCTATTCTTATGTGTAATAGGTAAATTTGTCTACACCAACATGAGCAACTTTCTGATGGCAGAAGCAGTCCTTACATAAACTCAATGCACCATTGAGCCAAATCATGCTGGCAGTTTTGTTTCCCTGTTCTTTGTTTCCCTGTTCTTTGTTAAGCAGTTCTCCAACCATATTTAGATTGTGGCTGTGTAACAGAGAACAAGCACTAGTTAAGTACCTCCAGCTGAATCGTTAAATTGGCTGGGAAGAGAACAAAGACTTCTTCAAGCAGAATTTCTTTCTGACACAGATCTATTTTTTTTTTTTTTTGCTGATTCAGTTTTCATTGTCAAACAGGCCATAAAGGACTGTGTTGTTAAAACTTTTCTGTAAAAGTTTATATCAGAATCCACTTGACCAGTGGTCCTACAATGAGTTTCTTCCTCAGTTTACTCACTTTTGCAGTCCCCATTTAATTAATCTTGGCTCACTGGAATTAAGATCTGCTGGCATATCAAATCAGCTCTCTGATGCATTCTGTCATATTCCTTCCTCAGGGAATTAAACAAAAACAAGCAACCATAACTCAGATTCAGAGTTATAACATGCAAAACATAATTGCATTGGTTCTAAGCCCTTCAATATTGCAAAATAAAAAATAAAAGACAATGAGCTAAAGTTTACAACACCCATTTCAAAATAAAATGTCGTTTGGTAGGGGTCAGAGAAGATCTGTGCCTTCCTTTGACAACATGGTCTGTTTTGGTCCTTGTGTTGTGATAAAGCCTGTCAGCCTTTTAGTTGCGCACTGTTAAACATTTGTGAGGATTCTGATGTGAATGTTGACATAAATGATCTCCAACTGCTTGCTGTCTGTCTTCCTGATTTTGTAATCCTATTTCCATGATACGACACTCTCTGATCCTCACTGATGTAGACTGAGTCTGAATCCCAGGGCTCAGGGATTTGTCATTACCATTACAACACAAACAGCATCATCAACAGCAAGGGACACGGCAGAAAGGCGTGGTAAAGATGTGGCAAAGTTTTTTTTTAAAAAAAGGATCAACTTTAAAGTGACAGATGAGACCAAATCTGAACTTTCAAGGCAACATGTGCCATATATGGAGGAAAACTAACACTTCACTGAACAAACACTCACGACTGGTAAGAGTCATTTTCAGCAGAACAAGAAAGATGACCAGAATGAATGAGAAGATGGATTGAAATGCAAAGCAAACCTGGAAGAAAGCATCTCCGAAGAAGCAAAAAAGTGTTGGATGGAGGCTCCCTGTCCAGTAGGAGAAAGACCAAACACCTACATGGCAAAGACAATCTGTGACTTGAGAACCGCTGTGTACAGATGCTCTACATTCAATCTGACTGAGTTCAAGACAGTTTCTGAGGAAAATGGGTAATGATTCTAGGCTCTAGATGTGCAATGCTTTAACACAAAAGATTTACAAAACATCACATCTTTCACACCATGTTGTGATAAAGTTTGTCAGCAGCAAGTGTATTTGCAGGACAAGAAGCTTCTACTGGATAACCAAACAAATGTAAGCTACACTTTTCATGTTTTAACTGTCTAAAAGAACAAAGCAAGTTTCTTCATAATGATGCATAATTTTGATCTTATTTATCGAAATTAATAAATTATGAATGGATTAAACAACGAAAAAAAAAAACGACATTTCCCAGATGGCCATAGCAAAACAACGCGATGACGTCAGACGCCACCAGGAAGTTTATTCATGAATCTCATCGCCTTTACACCGCAGCGGGACCTGGAAGTTGCGGGACCAGGCGGAGTTACCGTTCCCCGCATAAGACGGGGTAAACTCCTGCTAAAGAGTCCCTGAGGCGGGATTTTATGCTTAAACCACGCATGTCTATCTGCAATTACTGAATGCCAGCCGCACTGTAGGCTCCACTGTCTGTAGTTTACTTGACTTTGAGCCTATGAGCCAGCGGCTCCTCTGTTGTTCACTCCGCTGTTCAAACAGCTAAATTCAGTCTCAAGATAAAGGAGCCGGTCATTCTGAGCCGAGTCTCCAGCTGTTTGGTGTTCAGAGCTGACTGAGGTGAGCTTTTATTCAAACACGTCATTTGCATGAGCAGATTCTGCAGAGACATATCTTGTTTTGTTTTTTCGTTGGCATTGTAACACAGAAGTTACTGTTTAACGTTATAATTTACTGTGTTGCAGGTATGCGGGTTATTTTGAGAAATCATAACTCCTTTTCATACCCACCTGTTGTTCCAACATTGTCATTTCACCTCAGCTTATTTTTCTTAGTAGCTAGTTTTTTAGTGCATTATAGTGAAGCCTTAAATCACAACTCCCATTAACTTGAGATGCATATTATTTACTAAAAGTATTAGACCCAATTTCCATAGAAACAGGGTTTAAACTGCACGTACTAAATTGTATATACATACAATTTATGTACATACTAAATTGTTTTATAAGAGGCTGAAACTGTGGAACAGTTGCAGTAATTGGATAAATAAACCAAAGTAAGTACATTCATATTTTTTTTTTTATTTTTTTGACACTGTGCAAAAACAGTACTGTTAAAGTAAGGAAATTATTATTATTATTGTATTTTTTTTGCGTCCAGCTGGACTGGAGCTGCTCTCACAATATGCAACTAACCAAAAAGGACTTTGTTATGCAGCGTCTGACAATGTATCATACCGCAATGGCAAAAGGCTCTGAGTTTGAATTTAATGAGCTCAACATGTAATCTCAGGAGAAAGGCAAAATTGTACTGTTGAATAAAAATAGCCTAAAGCATAATTAGGCTGTTTTGCAGTCAGTCAGTAAGTTTTTTTGTCTAAGTATCTGTTGATCTTTTTTGAAAAATGGCCTGAATTACATTATTTGGAAAAAAGAGAACATAATGATGGGCTTAGTGAGAATAACACTCAATATTATTGATTGCGTCTTGCTTGTGACATTTTGTTTTTAATACTAACATAACTCATTCATTATCTTATATAAACTGAGATCTATATGTGTAAATTAACTCAGCAGTCATAAACCCATGGCACTGTCGGGAGTGAAAGTCATCGAGTTGGCAGGTCTGGCCCCTGCACCGTTCTGTGGCATGATCCTGGCAGACTTTGGAGCCAAGGTGATCCGTGTGGACCGCACCAAGGTTTTCTCAACTCTGGACACTCAAGCTCGCGGGAAACAGTCCCTTGCCCTCAACCTGAAAATGCCACAGGGTGTGGCTTTGCTCAGGCGGCTCTGTGTTCAGTCAGATGTTGTCCTTGAGCCCTATCGCAAAGGTCAGAACTGAGTCTGTGAAAAGATAGGGGGAACGCTTTTGAGTGACTGCTAATGTGTCTTTAACGAATAATGGTTATTATTCTTATTTGAAGGTGTTATGGAAAAACTGGGCCTTGGTCCAAGTGAATTACATAAAGAAAATCCTCGTCTGATCTACGCTCGGTTGACGGGATATGGCCAGAGTGGGCGTTACGCTTCTGCAGCTGGACATGACATCAACTACCTCGCCATGTCAGGTAAAGACTGGTTGGAAAACCTGTAAATAATATGGTCATATTAGTTTGTTGCAAAAGTTTTAATTCCAAATTTCTTTTTGTTTTGATTCTAAGCGCCAGAATATTAATTGAAACATGCAGGATTTCTGATGACCGTCAGAGTTTTTCTTTGAACCTTGGATCCTCTTCCACTCACTTCCAATGTAGTCGTGATCAGAGTAATGTCATATAAATTCATTTGAGTCATTTTCTTGTCTTTGACTTTCTTATAAATGATGCAGAGACCCAGTTTTGTTCCCACTACGGTTATATTGAAGGATGTATGATGCTGGGGGTCTGTTTCTCCTTCCAAAGCTTTTGAAACCTTGTTAAAATATAAATTTGTCTTATATACAAAGGTAATAAAATAAACCTCAAAATTAAATTAAAAGGGTGATTATGAGGCTTAAGACATATGGCCAAACCAGAAATGGTTAATCAAATTCAAAATAAACATTTCTTCATAGCCTTGTCAGTCCTCAGACATAAATCCCATTAAAAACCGGCAGGGTGAGCTGAGGAGAGTTTGGACTCTGGGTGAACTACCAAGGGTGTCCAATGAAGAATTACCAGAGATTCCTCTGCCTTTGTACTTTAAGCTTGTAATATTTTGTGGGTGAACACTGTGTGGTGCCTTTCAAATGAACGCTGCAGTTGTTCATCAGCCCCGTCTCTGTTTTGTAGCACACAGATTGAGTTCAGCTGTGACTAAAAGATCATTTTAGGGTACAAACCGAAGTGGAGTGCTGTTTTGTAGCCCCGATGATAGGTCCATTATCTTTGGTAACAGAAAAATTCATTCATATCTTAAAATACAACAAACAAGTTTGAATAAATGCACAAATAAATACCTGCTCAAATTATATTTTAAAAATAAATCAGGATTAGATTATTAGGATTGAAGACTTTGTAGCAATTCTGTTTGACATTTGTGTATGGCCTTTCCTATGCGGCATCCAAAGCAAATATTACAAAGAAACTTTGAAAATCCTTTTGCAATTACAGTTATGCTTTTATTATTGTTCAAGGTGCTTTGCGATACGAGAGCAATAGCAGTGCAGCAAAAGGAGCAGAAAGTCTCACACAAAGTCCAGGTTCTTTCATAAGCATTTGTGCAGTGAATTCCTCCACATCAGTGAAAAACTTCTAAACAATATCTTGTTTCTGATCTAAATTGGTCCTTAGTGTGCTGTAAGTTTTATCTAAAGAGTTTGTTTAATGTCCATACAGGCCTTTTGTCCCAACTGGGTCGGAGTGGAGAGAAGCCCTACGCGCCTTTGAATCTGGTTGCAGATTTTGCCGGTGGTGGTCTTACTTGTGCTCTGGGGATCGTCTTAGCCCTGCTGGAGCGTACAAAGTCGGGAAAGGGACAGATCATTGACGCTAGCATGGTAAGAAACCCTATGATTTTTAGAACAAGTTTCCATTTACTTATATGTCTCCTGACTGCAGTCACTGCTTTAGGGCAAAATACACTTAGGAAACCTTAGAACCACAATACAGGTGAGATACAGTTCAGAAAATTCAACCAGAAAGTGATCAGACACAATAAAGGATCATATATTCTTCAGATGACTTTTGGACAGGATGCAGAACTAATTGTCTCTTCTGTCTCTGTGATGTGATCTGTTGACATCAACAAGCACAAAATGTTTTCTGCACTGCTGCAAGTTGGGGCTCTTCTGTGTCGTAAAGTCCCAATTAGCATCGATGGGTGAAGTTGGACAGCTCATGGTGGAGTTACTTAGAAAAGCCCATCAGAGTCTCAGAAGGCAGAACATCTTTAAATGAAGCCCAATGGGAGGGAGGTTATGATGCACATTCAATGCAGCTGACATATTAATGGCTTTAGAAAGAGCTGATTTGAAACAAACATATTGAGCTTCTTTGCAAAGTAGATTTAATACATATATCTATAAGTCAGCCACATATTTCCGTTTAATTACAGCATCTGATTTCTTATGTTCCACCCTTGTTCTGAATTGGGTTTAATTTTATTAAAGCTAAGAGACAAATATTCTCCAGGCTAGGATTGCGGCTCTTATTAGTGTTTCATTGATGCGATGAAATATTTTAATTAATCAGTTTGACTTCTGCCTGAAAATTGATCACAATGGGACTTAAGCTCTTGTTTTCTGAATGCAGATTTCTCTGTGGTGTGGATGTCTGCATGTCGGAAGCACCAATCTTTTACAAAATTTTAGGGAATTGTTTTTGTCAGTGTTTCTGTGTGAAACATTGAAAGATGAATAAAACCAATCTGTAGATGGATCCTCATTGTGGCAGAACCAGCAGGGTATTGAAACTGAAGAACAGCTGCAATGGAAGATAAGGCAAATAAACAGAGCAAAAATAAAACACCTGTCCTAAAATCTTGTAGGAGAGGAGTCCTTGCAGAAACCCAGCAGTCCACACATAAATGAGACCCCAAAGGGTTGTCCTTGCAAGAGAGATGTTTTGTGCATAGCTGGAAAACAAAGTTTTTGCCTTCTGCAGACAAAGTGCTTTGTGTTTTGGTATCTTCAATTTGTAGCTGCGCCTTTACCTTTGGGGGGCTGGGATTTGCTAAAGTTCAGACAAGCTCAACAAATTGATGTGAATCTTTCAGGTTCTGCATTCCAGTTTGTTCTACAAAGTGGAAATAAGACAAACCTGCTGTTTATTGTAAGCGGGTCAATGTTATTGACTTATAATCACTTTCGATCAGCTAAACACAGCTTCTTAAATAGTTTAAGACAGCAACCCAATAAAGTGCTTGCCTGAATTCAGACTGGTGCAGGATTGATATTAATGTGTGTGGCATTATATATAAATAATATGATCTAATTCATTCTTCTTTAAATGACAAAGAAAAAAAAGTTCTACTGTAGCTGGATTGATATACATTAAAACAGTGATTTTTACCAGCTGCGGCTCTAAAGCTGCATGCCGTTAATAAGAATGATGAATGCTGTTCTTTTAGTTGCACGTCACAGCCGTGTTGGGATGTGGTGGCCATCCACCACCAGTGCACTACTGCGTCCATCTGGACCATTCAGGGTTGCACAGCAGTCATCAGTGGACAAGTCTGTTTGAAAATAAATCTTTGTGTACGGCTGAGCCCACTGCCACCGTTTCCGCTTGTGAGCTCTGGTTAGGGGGCCCAATAGTCGGTTCATGCACCGCAAGCCTCTGAAGGATCCTCCACCTTGAGGTTCCAGAGGCACCAGCAGCTTCAGATTACCGTTTTTAACAGCTGCTCTCTTAAAATGTAATCTTTATGACTCTTAAATCCAATCTGCACAATAATTTGGAACACAGTGTGTATAGCTAACCAACCCCATCCAGATTAGAAACCTTTCAGAGGTGATGGACTTGAAGTGCTTTCCAGTACCTTCAGTTTTCTTATTTGTTATGACATTGCTGCTTTTAAGTGTGCTTCAGCTCCAAGTGGCCCAAGCACAAAGCCGTCTCTAAAGCTATACCATTAAAGCGTGCAGCAAGAGGAGTCTAATGTTTTTCCTGTTAGACGTAAATGCAGCCAAGTGAAGAGGCTGGCAGCCAGCAAGGATGTACCATCCAGACATAAATCAGCAGGGCTGTTTATTCATCCACTTCACATCTCTGTCAGGTAATTTTCAGACAAGGCACCATTTGTAAAGCCTTTCAGGCTGATGTGGTACAGTTCTCTGTGTAAAACAGACAAGAGTGGGACAAGCTGCAGTGATTCAGGTGACAGGATGAGATTTAGCTGGAAGGTTTGTCAGCTGATGGTCTGAATCATTGTGGTTGTGTGGGTGGCTCTGTCAGAGAGGGAGCTGTGTTGCTGAGAATGTAGTTACTGAAAATATTCATTTATTTTCTTGAAATGAGCAGTGGAAATTGAAGTGCCTGGAGGACATGCGAAAGAGGCTTTTTTTCATCCATTATTGTCTCATTTTCAGGATTTTTTTTTTGTGTGTGATTTGAGTATTAAATTGAACCTAAAATGGCCTCGTGGGTCAGTGCTGAGTGTGGGAAGTGTTTACTCAAGAGATCAGAAAGTTGTTTTTAATGTGTAAAGCTTTTACAGCCTTTATCATGTGGGGGTGGGTGTGTGTGTGTGTGTTCGGAACTTATTCACTGTTATCTGTTGACACCTGGCTGTACCGATGAAGCCTTGGTATATTTACCAACCGTTCCAGTGTAAATCATGCTTCCTATAAAAAAAAGAGAAAGCCACAGTATAATTTGCTCTATTTGTTTTCAAACAATATACTCTTCAACACAATCACATGGTTCTTGTGCCCCTGTTACACCATCTGTCAGGAAAATAGAAATTTAAATAGTGAGTGTCCCAACTCACTATTGGGTCATGTTGTTGTCATTGTCAGAGAAACATAGCAGGAGACACTGTCTGCTGAAGCTGATATTTGGCTTCTGCCAACATTAAATCTAAAAGTTGTTTTACTATTGAGTGGATGTGGAATGCTACTTGAACTTGGAGACTGAGGGACATTGATTTTTCTTTCTTTCTTTTTCTTTTTTGTTTTCAAACAGATTAAAACTTAATTCTTGTGAAAACACAAACTGAATTTTTGTGAAAAAGCAAGAACTAAAATCACAATAAATCAACTGGATAAACTTTAACTGAATAATTTTGTGTTCATTCCACATTCTTTAAAACATACACACAAACATGTATTTGTCTGTGTATGTGTGTATGTACATTTTTTAAAACTTTTTTCCATTTAAAAAGAAAACATCTTTGTTTTCCCAAAAGCATAGTCAAAATCTTACTGTCTCCTTCTCACAAGCTCAGTGTCATATGTTATTTTTTTAATATTGTCTCTGTGTGTTTATTTTATTCAGCAGCTTTGGTTATTTTTTTTTATTTTTTACAATCTACTAGCTGTAGAGCTGCTAACTTTGCTCATTTGTTCAGCTTCTTTATGCCTCTGATTCAAATGTGCCCTTAACACATTTCTAGTATAAATTTGCAGTCACAGATTTCTAGCTATGCAATGTCTTTTTCAGTCTTATCTGTTTTCTAGCTCAGAGGTTCTGAATGCTGGCCCTCACGGACCACTTTCTACATGTTTTAGGTCTTTCACTGCTGCCGCACACCGGACTTAAATGAATTTGTGATCAATAGGCAGCCATGAACATTCTGGAGAAGGTAATCCAATCATTTAAATTAGGTACGCAGGAAGGAGAGCCCTGAAGAACAGGATTAAGGATCACCTTCTGAAAACGGTTGTCGGAAAGTCCTTCACTTTATCGGCAGTCTGAGTTTCTAAAAGATCAACTGATCTCCTCTCCAACAAATCATTTCTGGGTTTGAGTTGTCAGTGGGGCATAGACATTTTCCTGGTTTAAAAAAAAAGAAAGAAAGAAAGAAAAATGTAGTTTTTATGTGAACAAAAACTTTGCTCCATCTGCAAAGAAAAGAAAAAGGTAAAATCCATATTGGAATCTCGAGAGAGAGAGACATAGGCCTCAAACTGAAGGTTTTTTGTTTGTTTTTTTTCTCAGCCTTTAGAGTCCCTTAACTCAAAGATAATCATAAATCACTGAGCGGACCTCAAAAGAACTGTGCATACAAATTAATCCCAGAATCTCACAGAACCAGCGGTTGTTTGAAGCAAGGAGATGCAGAAATCCCAGACACTCTTAGGAAAAAGCCTGATTTTTTTTGTACTTTTTATGTAAATCTAAAATGCCAAAGGTTTCCCTCTTGGTACTTCTTTTTGTTTGTTGAGGGGTGCGGTAGATAAAAAGTAAAGGTGACCTTGCCAGCTCCATTGTTGAGTTAAAGATTAAATTTAACCAGGGATTTGGCTCCTCTGGGGTTTTAGCAGAAGCAGAGATTATGAGTGAAAACTGTTCATTTGTTTGAGCAAAGTTAAATTTTTTTGGACATTCACTAGAGCTCTAATTTAAACTTCACCTACAGGCTGTCAGTGAGGAGAGAAGCGATGGGATTATGGATGCAGACATATTGCTACCAGGATTATACAGGTTCAGGCACTGACCACTTTATTAGGTACAACAGGATCAAGACGTTTAGAGCACGTCATACACTTTTGTTAGGTTAATGATGTGGATATTGGATTTATAATGAACACATACACTCTTTCATTGTGTATGAAACAGTGTATACCCTTCACTTGTTCTGAAGTGCAGTTATTAGATTTCCTAGCTGTCATCTGGCAACAGCGTTTTAGAAGCCTTTAATTGAATATTTTTGGCTCTGGTGATTTATTAATTATCATCATTGTTTTTTTTTTTGTTTGGGTTTTTTTTGCAGAAAATTTATTCTGATTAATTGCAGAGCTGGCTTTGATGAGATTTCACTAATTTGAAAAATTGCTTAATTTGCCGAGTTTAAAACTGTGACTGGAAAGTCACTCATTTGGATGCTTGGCAAAAGTATTCATATGCTTCAAACTTTTCCAAATTTTGTCCATGCCTTGTGGAGCACTTAGGCTTTTTATTATGTAGAGTAGGGCTCTTCCAATCCAGGCACCAAGGCCATCTCATAGGTGTTGCAAATTTTCCGTAATATTTGTACAGTTTCAAGGTAAATTCATTCTCTCAGTTTCTTGTCTGCTTGTCCTCAAAGTTCAATATTAGACGTTTTTAATCAAACCTCTACTAACTCTTGGTAAAAATTACAATTTCGCTTTCTTTAATGGAAGTCTTGCAGGACCTTCTCAACTTGTCAGAATGACTCCTTTAACTGAATGGTAATTTAGCTAACTAATCTTCAGCACATAAATCAAACCTTCAGTGTGTTTATGCTGCATAAATTTGTCATATTTTGTAGACAATATTGAAGACAATGTTATTCATTCTAATAAAAACAAATGTCTTACACATGCTGTGTTGTTTTGCTACTTTGCCAAAGTTTTAATTGGGGAACGGTCATGAAACATTGCACGGTGTAGTAGGACTCCATCATAAACTCTTGAATCTTATTTCCTCATTTCTCTATATACAGTTCTTCATTGTTAGGGTGCAGAACCAGCTGGCATGAACACTTTTGTTAGCGGAACAACCACGTTATTATACTGGCTTTCAGAGTCTCTCCATGAGGCTCCCATCACAGGCTCCAAAAGCGCACACCATCTGCTTCGGAGCTGTCAACTGTGACACATCAGGGCGATACATTTTCTGCTTCATTTTTCATCTTCCAAGCATCTAACAGCAGCAGTATGCTTTCATTCGTCTTGCTTTTCCATTCAGCCTCCCAGTTCAAACCGCTTGCGTCTTTTGAGGCTTCTCTGCACTGGAGTTTATATTACAATTAAATTAAGTGGTTGTGAGGATGTAAACATTTATAACTGGGAGTCTGTGTGGCGTATGTAGCCACATGAGCCCTGTGCACACCTGGAATGAACCGCCTCTTCAATTTTGAAGTTCTCTGCTAATTACCGATTCTGCCCTCTGGGTCACTTTGACACATTTCTGACATTTTTTTTTTTTTTTAAATCAAAGCAAGCTCATTTTTTCTTCCACAGACAGCTTCTTTCTCAGAAAAGTCTTTCAGAGTGATCCCTGTCACTCAAATGTAATATTCAATTAAACTTTTTGTACCATTTTATTGTCTTTTAGTGCAGGATCTCATGTTCTACTATTAATTAGTTTCCAGTCTACTGTTTGTGACAGTATTTCTGCCATTTTTCTGTTTCTTTCCAGACATATAATTTCTACTGTGCAATTCTTTCACATCTTTTGTATCCTTCTGCAAACTATACTTGTGTGATCATTGTGCTTTATAATTTTTTCTCTTCTTGCAATATCTCTCTAAAGAATGGCACCCTGTATATAATTCTGCATATTCTCACAAAACATTTGCTATCTTTTATATGTTATACATATAGTAATCTACTTTGGGGGTTCCTTTTGATTTTATTTTCTTGACTGTTAATAGGAAAAAAAACAAAATAAGAATTAATATATGACTTTTTTTTTTTACATTCTGCAGTTAGAACAAAACCAATAAGAAGAGGAAAACTTAATCCTTGTTTATAAAAATAAATAATCAAGAAGAATGCTGCTAGTTTGTTCCCCACAATCCCTTTTAAATGTTGCACTGATGTTTATTGTTAAGCTTGCAACTTATTTCTGTTATAGTAATGTTGGAAAAATAGTCTATTGTTGTAGATTTTCATGAGAAAATCCATTGTTCTGACATTTCCAAGTGGACCAACAATGAATGTTGAATTAAAATGAAATCAATGCAGCAGGTCATGAATGCAGTAAGAAGAAGAGGGGCACTCAGACATCCATAATTTTACTATTAGTTATAAATTATGCTTTCATGTCCTGTCCTGGACATATTAATGAAATACATTTTAATAGAGAGGGTGAGTAACTGTAGTATGTTGGATGCAAGGAAGAAGCAAACAGAATTCATAAGTTTAGAAAGTCTTTTTTACACACACACACACTGCTTGGAGTCTCATCTTTTTCTTATTCCCAGATGCCTTTTTCATGATGATCAGTAAGCGAAGACTCCACATTCCAAGTTTTATCCTTGCTCTTGTACAAATAAAAAAACACAAAAGCTCAAGTAAATATTTCAAGCACTGGTCTGGGTTTTCCTTTTTCTTTTCTGGTATAGAATAATTGTAAATGCATTGAAAATCTTACCAGCATCAGAGCGGCCTTCTGTTCTTCCAATAGGTTTTCTTTTCATAAAGCAGCAACATGGTCAAAAAAAAAAAACACATTCAATTCTCAAGTTTAAAGTAGCTTTCTTTTTTTTTTCTCATGTTTCAGTCGTCATACAATAGATTTTTTTCCCTTTTAGTTTCAACAAAGCAAAAGGTGCTTTGGGTCACATTAGATTTGAACCTCTAAAAACGCCTTTTGAACAGTAGAGAGATGGGTTCTTGTGTTCCTCATTTGTTCGAACTGCAACATTTGCAAAGAAGGGCACTTTTTGATGAGTTCAGGCAGGGATAATTGATTACCATCAGCAACAATAGTTGTGACAGATATCTTGTCTTCAGCTGCTGCTGTTTTCACTCACCAACATTTTGAAATCTAATGGATGACATTCAAAGCTGGCAGATTTATCAGAGTTGTCAACCATTACTGTTCGATCAAGGTGTTATTTACTGTGGGACGGCAGGATAAGCTTTGACACAGCAGTCTATTGCAAACAACAGATTTTCCACTTGATGATTGAAACAAGATGTCTTCACTTTTTTAAGTCATTTTTATATGCATTGAAAACGGTTTTGGTTTCAAATTAGTGTCTGTTTAATAAGAGCTGTATCAACATACACACATTTTAAAAAAGCCCAATCAAAGTTAAGAACCAAGTGATTTATTTTTTTGTTTGTTTGTTTTACAAGGTAGAATGATTTGATCTTGGAGATGAGTAAAGGTTTTAGGACCATAACTTTTTTTGATTGAAGCAACAAGGTTTTTTTTTCTGAACCCTGTTTTTAAGGACACTGCAAAATATACGAATTCCAGACTTATTTTACAATTTCTGACTGAAAGAGCACCTCTCCTTGTTTCTCTCCATGAATTCCTGCTGACCTTCAGCTGTTTTTTTTTTAAGTAGAATGTCTAAAATGTCAGCCTGCAGACGTACAGTTAGTAGAGACATACACCCCAAATGCCCCAAATGTTTTAAAACGTGTTCTTTGTATTCCAGTTCATAACTGTGTACTTCTTTTTGCTGTGCTGTCACATAAGTTCTTAAAATAAACAAAGTTTGTCTGTTTACTGAAGCCATCCCTGCATGGCAGTGGCAGCATCATGCTGAGGTGAGGCTTTTCTTTAGCAGGTCTTGGGAAAGACAGATGGTGATAAACACCACAATTAGTTTAGACTTTAGAGGGTTAACATTAAGTAAAATGCATTGATATTTGTGGTTGTAATGTGACTCGGTGGTTCTAAATACTTTCTACTTGTGAATTTATGTGAATAGTGCTAAATTATTTTATCATCACTTGCTGCAGACTTTCATGCATCAGTAATTTTTGCAAAAATACATCCTGTAGATTTCCCACAGACAACACCTGTGTTGTCTTTTGTCCTCAGGTGGAAGGAGCAGCGTTTACAGGTTCGTTTTTATGGAAGTCTCGTAAACTTGGTTTGTGGAGTCGCCCTAGGGGAGAAAATTTGTTGGACAGCGGAGCTCCTTTCTATGACACATACAAGACTCTGGATGGAAAATACCTGGCTGTGGGCGCCATAGAAACAGAGTTTTACAACCAGCTGCTTAAAGGTTTGTACTAAAATTACTATTAAGTTTATTCTACAGTAAGGACAAAATGTTGCATCAGTGTTGCAAATGTGCTATTCTGTTGATTTATAATTTCTAGATGGTATTTTAGCTTGTTTCTGTAGGTACTATTTGAAAAACATTCATATTTATATAAAAAAAAGCATGTTATGTTTTACATCATTTATAGACCTTTTTGGGACACCATCGATTTTCAGTAGGATTAAGAACTTTGGAGTTACATGGATCAGAGATTTAACATTTATGTGATCCAGAAATGGATCACATTTCAAAGTCGCTTTTGATTGTTTAGCACCTGAGAACTGTGCAATAAAGTAAAAATAGTATCAATTGCATACCTTATCTTGTACCTTTGGTTAGCCAGTAACCAAGCAGAAGCAATGCCTTTTAAACAATAATAAGAAATCAGAAAAGTGCATCTTGCATCACAGAAAGTGCAAAAGTTTATCTTAGACTTATTCACACTTAATTTGTTTTAACCCCAGAAATGTAATGTGGTTGCTGACCTTTTGATGTGAGAGTGAGCATCATGGTAAGATGAAAAGAGACGTCTGATTCAAAAAGAAGATTTCAGCATTTTGAGTCTGGGAAGGGATTTAAAGACATCTCAAAAGGAATGTAAAACCAGCCATTCCTCGGCCCAGAAAATAGTCTACAAGAAAAGAACATTCAAACTTTGAATTCTAACTGTAAAAGACTTACACATTTATTAATTTTTTTTAGAGAAAACTAAAACAAAATGTCTTGTGAATTGTCATTAGTTTTAAAATACAACAAGCAACATTTTCTTGAAGTTCAGAAGCTTCTTCATACTTTTCCATTAGTGGAAAATAAAAAGCACTTTTCATACATTGGGTAAGAATCCTGGCACAAAGGTTGTTTTCCTACAGTATTATAATTGTTTTATTTTTTATTTCTGTGTCCAAATAATTCAGTTTTGCACAATTTAAAAAGTTAACATTTCAAGGTCCTTGTTTCAGATATTACTTGCTTATTTCTCTGTGCAGTCTTATTTATTTCTGATGGAGTTGCATCAGTTGTTTATTTGTTTGTTTTTCTCTCAGGCTTAGAATTAGACGCTGGAGAGTTGCCTCCTCAGATGAGTTTCAGCGATTGGCCGGAGCTCAAGCAGCTCTTCACAGAGCGCTTCGCCTCAAAGACCCAGGCGGACTGGTTGATGATTTTTGACAGAATCGATGCCTGCGTCACACCTGTGTTGTCTTTTGACGAAGTGAGCTCTCACCCTCACAACCAAGAGAGAGGCTCTTTCATGAAGGACTCCAGCGGGGAGGAGTTCCCCCGGCCAGCTCCGGTTCTGTCTCGGACTCCCGCTGAGCCCTGTCTCGCTTCCGACCCGGCGGTAGGAGAGCACACGGTTGAGGTCCTGCTGGACTACGGCTACACTTCAGCAGAGATAGACGAGCTGTTAGCGGCTGGCGTTGTGCAGTGTAATGCTGGCAAGGCGAAGCTGTAGAAGAAAATAACGAAAGATAAGATAACGAAAGATCTTTGGTGATCAAGCTGGAAAAAAAGGGGGAAATTTTATTTTAGTAATTTCAGTGAAGATGAAAAATTAATTGTTGATTAATTATTGTGTGTAAAACATTAACAAAAGGCAAGGAACAATCTTTTTGTGTTTGAGGCTGAATCTAGGCTGAACTTTCTGATTCAATTGAAAATAAATATGCTATTCTACAGCAATACCTCACTTTTTATTGCCTCTTGCCTTCTGAGTGAGTCGGTCTAAAAGACAGCCACCACTGAAATCACGGCGTCCTGATGGGTGATACATTATCCAGCTCAGGGTCAAAACATGCCAAAAGAGATTTGTGGGCTCGACCTGAAAGACCATAAATCGGCAACAACACAAATAAATAGAAACTTTTTTTTCCTTTTTTTCTTGGTGTTCTCTCTGAGCTTCTAGGTTTGTCATCCTAATGTGTGATGTCCACCTACTCTGTCTGCATTGTGCAGTTGTTCTCGGTATCAGATCTGTTGCAGATTTATTGTCCTCTCAAAACCAATTTAGATATAGGAGACGCTGAACTTCTCCACTGATGTAGGGCCATTGTTAGAGTGGACTGACTGTGCTATATTGAGAAGAATTTATCTGTTTTTTGTTTTTTTTCTGGAGTCGAATTGATTGATTGGATTGATTTTAGAAATTTTTTGATCAGTAATTATTTTCATTAAGAGATGTGTATACATTTTATGATCCGCATCACTTATTTTTGCTAAAGTCACCAGTTTGTTTATACTAATTGAGTGTTTTTAACTCATTGGTGATCCTCATAGAATTACTGTCAGTGTAAAAAAAAAAAGATATCTTTATGTTAATTGTTTGACACCAGAAGTTTAAACTTATACAATGGAGAACATCATAAGTAAAACAAAACTCTGTTATTCAAATTATAGCATTTTGTGGAGTTATTTTAGTGATTAATAACAAAATATCTACACATTTCCTGATGCAGTCCCAAGTATACTTGGGATATGTTGCAGGTTCTGATAACATTGTGGAAGTCATTAGCTGGAATAAGAATGACTCCAGCTAATTAACTCAATTGGTGAATAACTTTACCAATTGTATTTGATTAAAAACATTCACCTCCATTCTTTGACCGATGTTCCTGCTCAGGAGATGCTGAACAGGTGACATGTCACGCTATAGTGTTACAATTAAGTAACATTGCAAGCAAGCATTCAAACTTCACTAAGGATAGTTTTTAATAGTTTTATGGGCAGTAGTGGGAAAGCTGTGCAGATAGAAAAAAGAAGACTTGTTATTGAAAAATCTTAAGACATACCCGTAGTGAAAAACAACAGTGATCATGGACTGAGACCAATCGATGGTGTCAAGGTTTTTCTTGATAAACTTGGGTCATGTTTTATTTGTAACTTAGAGCTCCAGCTTCACATCTGCACTACGTTTTTGGACAAGAAGTCTGCATATCATTAGTTTCAGATCACCTTGGGATTTAACTTTTTTAGTATGTGTACTTTAAAATAAGTAAATCAATTTATTTAATTCTTCAAAAGTTCTTTTCAGTAGTGATTTTGACTGGGTTTTGGAGCTGATAGTATCACCATGTAGTAACTATACTCTACCTGTTACTTTTTATAGAATAAACACACGTGTGTGTATAGAGTTATATAAAACACGGACAAATGTAACATAACGTTTGTTATACACTGGTCCAGAATTCCACTTACCAGCCATAAAATTATGAGGTTACGTAAATCACAGATGACTAATATGAACGTATTTCCTGAATAAGTGAAAACAAAACAATGCACAAATGCTTCAGGAATAGACAGAGGTATGTGACAGACATGGTGGTATCTGCTAATGATGGCTCTGCAGCAGACAGCAGGCCTTAAGAAACCAAATTATGGCTATTGCGTAGTTGTACAACTTCTGCAATATTTTAACTGCAGCAATGTTTGTTTTGTTTTCTTTGTGCTTCAGAGAAATGTGCTGCCATAAAGTTAATAAAAGGCAAAAATAAAAAGTTTTTTACTCAGTCAAGAAGTAATATGGAGCAAGATTTGGGATATCTGTAAACTCATGAAGAGTAAAAATTGTATGTCAATATATTTAAAAGCACAAAGCTAAATAAGCAAAATGACTCAAGGCTGCCATAAAATATTAATGAGTTACTTACTCCAGGGTCTACATATGTTTTTACTTTTAATTTGCTTGCTTGTTAGCAGTGATGTGGTTTGCAATGTAAACACTGTAAATTGATTGCTGCACAACGCCCATGAGATGGTAAACAGCAGGGCTTAAACAGGTTTGAACAGAAGGAGAGCAGGGGGAGAAGAGAGTGCTCACTTTTTCATTTTTTAACACTTCAGTTCCATTACTCAAAATTTAATGAAAGTTTGTGTTGAAATACTTTAATTTCTGCTCCCATTGCTTGTTTGTTTCTCTTTTTTATGTATTTTCTTCCCAGTTGATCACTTGTGGAAAAATAAATTCCTTTTTTTTTTCTTTAGATGTACAGGTACAATAGGACAGCAGTGAGTTGTGAGGTCAGAGTCACAGATGGATTCAAGGTTCAGGGGCGACGATTATGCTATGGATGAACTCTGAACCCTTTCCTGTTTGCAGAGTGGATACGTTAGCAGATAAGGTCAGTCACAGAAAAATAGTTAACACATTATCAGAAGCGACGCTGTATTCAGAGAGGCAAAATGTTCATCCCAAGCATAAAAAGAAATGACTTGATTTAAAAATATTAATTTTGTCCCTTTAAAACTAAATAAATACAATTCAAACAGCATTTCCTCAGCTTCACCAGTGTTAATAGAAATATTTAATATTTGTCCTAAAGACTTCTTCAGTTTTTGCTTTTGTTTTAATGTCACAGTCACATAATCAGGCATATTGACATCACACAGAGAATGTGAACTCAAAAATCTGTTTCATTTCATTAGGGTTTATTTATGAAAAGATTAAACAAGATAATTGCATAATACATTTTAAGTAAAGAAACAATTTTCTAAATTTATATTGTATATAGTATCATGTATGAATGTCAAAGAACCACGTTACGTTGTTGCGTTTACAATCCTGTCTCATCTGTATTCTTTTCACTTGAAACCCTTTGAAACATTAAGCAGCACAATCGATGCAGGTGTTAATAATGTTCTGTTTTCTGAGGTCAAAGGTTCCCTGAGAAAACATTTTGAGGTCCCAGGGCTGCATGTGAAGACTTAGTGATGCTTTTAATGTGAAACGCATCACAAGCTGGAAGGATTTCACTGATGTTATGGGTTAGCAGTGAGCTGATACTCTGAGCTTACTGATTTATTCAACCAAGGGTCTTGCACCCAGCTAGTTTTTGGATGTAACCGATAACCAGCCACACTTCAACTCATACGCAACAATATCTAAGTATTTTTTTTTGTGCTTAGACAATTAATAAACCTGAAAGAGGTCTAAAATATCTGAAATCTGCTTTTCATAGGTTGGTCTAATAAGCATTAGACACGGTGGGGGGATCTCGCCAGATGATTGCTGTAAGATTCTTCTGTAAGAATTTGAAATTGCTGAGATCAATAAGTGAGATTTGTGTTCAGATATGAAGAAGAGAAATGTATGGTAAAGTCTGAGGAGAAGAATGTCTTTTTCAGAAACAGTGCAGTCATTAGTGTCAGTTTCTACTGAAGCAAACAACAAATTTTCTGCCTGAGCTGATTAACAACCAACATTTTGGGTTCTGTGGGTTTTACAGCTTTGATCATGGCTTTTCCTCAGCTTTTCCTTTGAATGCAACGATCCCGAAAATGGTTTAGTCCTTGTCACGCAGTCTTTATCACCTGTTCACAAGGAAGGACACAATGTGTTCTGTACTCCTGACACCCAGTCGATGTTATACAATGTTACTGCTATTTGCTTTTCTCCGCCTTTCTCTCCCTGACATACACTTCCAGACTGTCGCACCACCAGCGACTAACATATGAGGCATGTGAGGAATCCAGACATCTGACAGTGTTTTGTCCTACATGCACTTTATTGCAGTACTGCTTTGATAAAGATTAAAATGGGGTTTGATTTAAATGCAAGTGTTTTGAGGAGACCATCGAGAAAATTAAAGCTCTTTCCTGATGCTACTGTTTGTATAGATTACATCTCTATAGAACATTTACAGGTGGATAATTCCTCACATGTGCTTGGTAAAAGGCCAGCATTTAAAAAGCATCTCTGCCTTCTTCACTTCTGTCCATCTTGGAAGTTCACTTAAAGTTTAAAGTTAAATGCTTGTTTCAGTTCTGCATTCACACTTCAGACATATTTCCTTGTCTTGGGTTTTTTTTTTGGGGTGGGGGTCGTCAGTTTTGCCTAGACTTTGTATTTCCATGAATGTGCATGTCTGAACAACTAACCTTTTTTCCCCCATAAATATTGCAGAGGGAATTATTTTTGAATATGCAGCAGAAGCATGAAGGACTTGTAAATATTTAATATTGAAACACAGCTTGGACTCATAAAACGATGTTGTGGTGGTGGCTACTTCTTCATGCTGTGTTATTTGTCTGCCATCGTTTGCCCTTGTTCTTTTTAGAAAATAACATCTTGTTTATATGACGTAATGAAAGCATTATTCAACACAAGAGAAAACTCAAATGTGTGGTAAAAGGTTTTTGACATCTCATCAGAGAAAAACAGAGGGTGGAAACTCGATCTACAAGCAAATGCTAAGATTAGCAGGTGCAATAAATTTAGCAAAAAGTGCAAAATACTACGTGGAGAAAATGCAAGTGCAAAACATTACCATCCACAAGCCGATTTACTCCCGTTTTTGTATGCAAAAATATCTGCGGTGTCTATGGCGATTAAAAAAGACATTTCTTGTCAAATAAAAAAAATAAAATAATCTTGTCATTGTAAACTAGTCTCTCAGTTGAAACAGTGTGACGACAGAAGGAGGATCACACATTTGGTTCTGCCAGATGAGAGCACATGAATGAGCATGTTTGAGCTGTCGGCTCTGACATTTGATGTGAGCACATGTGCCTGTCAGGGAAAGCAGGTGATATCTTGTGCTTTCGTATAAAGGCGTTCCAGCCTGCATTCGTTAAGTGTTTTCTCTTCAAGCAATGTTCTCGCTGTTCCCTCCTCTCCCTCTGCAGATCTCTATCCCCTCCCTCAGGGATCACATGCATCACTTGATTAGCTTTGAGAGCCAGCCACCAC